CTCTTCAAAATTAAGTTGGATTTCTTGGAGCCATATAATTTGGAATTACAGAAATTATTTTGGAATTATGGAAATTACGTTGTAATTAGGTTGAAACTACAGGAATTAATTTGGAATTATAGGAATTAATCTGAAAAAAAGGAATTACGATGGATTATTGGAACTACTAGAATTTTTTTGGAATTAGTGGAACTTTGGTGGAATTTTTTTGGAATTGGAATTAGTTATACACATCTTTTTCAAGTGTACGGCCCCTCGGAAATAAGAATATAAGCCACATCGAAATACTAAGTAATAAAAATTGTAAAGTGAAAATTGAAAATTTCTCTGTTTACGAAAGTTGCATATTATACAAAACAAAATGTAATAACAAAAAGTTGTTTTAAGTGCAAGTGAAAATTAAGCCGGAAACAAGTGATGTCAGTAGATACTTTTATTACAATTTTATAATCTCGATTGTTTTTTAGAGATCAAAAGTGACCTACTCTTGTTTCCGATACTACCTACTACGTTTTAAATAAAAGTTTAACAATGCGAATTTTCATCCGGAATTTCCGTAAACTAACGCTAATGAAATGAAGCTCCGTATAATTATTTAAAAAGTAATTAACACTTAACTTGTCGTTAAACGAAATGTGTGTCGCATGGTTGAATGGCCCTGTTTCGCAGATTATACCATATAAGGTCACTGTTTAGTTAGATAAGGGTATAAGGAGTTGTGTTATAAAAACCGATTTTAAATGTTATTGACAAATTAGATAACATACAATTACCAAAGAGATTTTATTTTTTATTGTTTAACTTTTCTTGCGCAAACTTGCAGTGATTATCAAAATACTCAAAAAGAACTTGAAGCTTGAATTAAGTAGAAAGTTATTTAAATATATCAAATTAGACTAAGAAATAAGTAAATAAAAATTTGCCTTTAGTTAAGTGAAACGTTACAATATTACGCCTCACGATTTTTTTTAGTTTTTGTATTACCTTCATCGAGAGAAATTTCCTGTGGGTGTGACCCTATTAAAATCAAAATCCATCTAATTAGTGAATGTTTTAATGCTTTCTCGATCCGTGGCTAAATATCCTTTTTGCAAAAAATAATTGCATCTGGTTAAGACCGGAAAAACTCTTTTCTTATTTATAAATTCCATCATGTTTCGTTTGATTGGCGTATTAATTATTTTCAACCACTTTAATGTGAATTAAGTGTATCTGTCAGTTGATAGTGAAAGGAGAAATTATGCGGCGTTTAAAATCTTATTCTGGCCGCCCATCAAG